TTAGTAGATGGGGAGAGGGAGGTATTAGGTAGATGGCGAGAATATTTTGAGGAACTTTTAAATGTTGAGGAAAGGGAAAAGGGGGGCGGTAATTTCATGCACTGGCCAGGGAAGTATACCATCTTTTAGGAGTGAAGAAGAGTAGAATGTAAGTGTGGTGGAGGTACGTGAGGCATTACATAGAATGAAAGGGAGTAAAGCAGCTGGAACTGATGGGATCATGACAGAAATGTTAAAAGCAGGGGGGATATAGTGTTGGAGTGGTTGGTACTTTTGTTTAATAAATGTATGAAAGAGGGGAAGGTACCTAGGGATTGGCAGAGAGCATGTATAGTCCCTTTATATAAAGGGAAGGGGGACAAAAGAGATTGTAAAAATTATAGAGGAATAAGTTTACTGAGTATACCAGGAAAAGTATACGGTAGGGTTATAATTGAAAGAATTAGAGGTAAGACAGAATGTAGGATTGCGGATGAGCAAGGAGGCTTCAGAGTGGGTAGGGGATGTGTAGATCAAGTGTTTACATTGAAGCATATATGTGAACAGTATTTAGATAAAGGTAGGGAAGTTTTTATTGCATTTATGGATTTAGAAAAGGCATATGATAAAGTGGATAGAGGAGCAATGTGGCAGATGTTGCAGGTATATGGAATAGGTGGTAAGTTACTAAATGCTGTAAAGAGCTTTTATGAGGATAGTGAGGCTCAGGTTAGAGTGTGTAGAAGAGAGGGAGAATACTTCCCGGTAAAAGTAGGTCTTAGACAGGGATGTGTAATGTCACCATGGTTGTTTAATATATTTATAGATGGGGTTGTAAAAGAAGTAAATGCTAGGGTGCTCGGGAGAGGGGTGGGAATAAATTATGGGGAATCAAATTCAAAATGGGAATTGACACAATTACTTTTTGTTGATGATACTGTGCTTATGGGAGATTCTAAAGAAAAATTGCAAAGGTTAGTGGATGAGTTTGAGAATGTGTGTAAAGGTAGAAAGTTGAAAATGAACATAGAAAAGAGTAAGGTGATGAGGGTATCAAATGATTTAGATAAAGAAAAATTGGATATCAAATTGGGGAGGAGGAGTATGGAAGAAGTGAATATTTTCAGATACTTGGGAGTTGACGTGTCGGCGGATGGATTTATGAAGGATGAGGTTAATCATAGAACTGATGAGGGAAAAAAGGTGAGTGGTGCGTTGAGGTATATGTGGAGTCAAAAAACGTTATCTATGGAGGCAAAGAAGGGAATTTATGAAAGTATAGTAGTACCAACATTCTTATATGGATGCGAAGCTTGGGTGGTAAATGCAGCAGCGAGGAGACGGTTGGAGGCAGTGGAGATGTCCTGTCTAAGGGCAATGTGTGGTGTAAATGTTATGCAGAAAATTCGGAGTGTGGAAATTAGGAGAAGGTGTGGAGTTAATAAAAGCATTAGTCAGAGGGTAGAAGAGGGGTTGTTGAGGTGGTTTGGTCATTTAGAGAGAATGGATCAAAGTAGAATGACATGGAAAGCATATAAATCTATAGGGGAAGGAAAGAGGGATAGGGGTCTTCCTCGAAAGGGTTGGAAAGAGGGGGTAAAGGAGGTTTTGTGGGCGAGGGGCTTGGACTTCCAGCAAGCGTGCATGAGCGTGTTAGATAGGAGTGAATGGAGACGAATGATACTTGGGACTTGATGATCTGTTGGAGTGTGAGCAGGGTAATATTTAGTGAAGGGATTCAGGGAAACCAGTTATTTTCATATAGTCGGACTTGAGTTCTGGAAATGGGAAGTACAATGCCTGCACTTTAAATGAGGGGTTTGGGATATTGGCAGTTTGGAGGGATATGTTGTGTATCTTTATATGTATATGCTTCTAAACTGTTGTATTCTGAGCACCTCTGCAAAAGCAGTGATAATGTGTGAGTGTGGTGAAAGTGTTGAATGATGATGAAAGTATTTTCTTTTTGGGGATTTTCTTTCTTTTTTGGGTCACCCTGCCTCGGTGGGAGACGGCCGACTTGTTGAAAAAAAAAAAAATACAGAAGGGGTTACTAGCCCCCTTGCTCCCGGCATTTTAGTCGCCTCTTACAACACGCATGGCTTACGGAGGAAGAAGTCTGTTCCACTTCCCCATAGAGAGTTCCACTGTATTATTACAATTAAATTAAGTGGTCAACCCATAAGGGACAATAGTAATTATATTCAGAAAATTATTATGAAAATTATCTTCTCCTTGTGCCTCATCACTTGCTCCCACACAAGTTATTACGTATAATATTATTAATGTTGCTGTGTCTTTTAACCCTTTCATTGTCAGTCCCATTATATCTTGGCTTTGAAGCCAGTGTTGGTCCTGTAGTATGTTGCTATGAGCTCAGCTCACTCAGATAAGTTGTGAGTGGTAAATTTGGGCAGCATGGGTCTATGCAGTAAGTGTGCACCATATAAAAAAAATCCTGCAGCACACAGTGCATAATGAGAAAAAACTGTGACTTTGCAGTATATTTTCATATGGTTTTTATGGTTGTATTCTTGGTTTCTTGGTCTCATTTGATAGAATGGAAGATATATCACAGAAATTATATGATTTTCATTAGTTTTAGGACTGAAAGTAGCTTGAAGTCGAGCTCAAAGTAGTGGAAATATTCGATTTTTGCTGATATTCCATAGCACACAAATGACGTCACTTGTCCAATACGCATCCAGCTAGCCAGTCTAATATGCATTTAGGAATGCACTGACATTATTTATACAATTATTACAATAATGCAGTAATCTGCATAGCAGTAAATCTATATTTTGTGTGAATAAAAATTCAAAATGAAAAGCAAGCGTAATATTAGAGGGGCCTGGAGATGTGAATAAGTAACAGAGGACATGTTTGTTGAATGCCAGGAATGTCTGCATTGTTTATTCTGGACCCTTTTTCAAATTGGCATTTGTTGAATTTTGTATGAAATTGGCCAAATTACTGATTTCTGATAACTTTATTGGGTAGTTGAAATAAGTAAATGGGTGGTTTCTTGTACTCATTCGATAGAATAGAAGGAATACTAGCAAAATACCTATGAGTTTGGTGGACTGGAATAATGGAATTGGCCAAAAATAGAGCATAAATTGGGCAAAATCGCCAATGCATAAATATCGCTGACATTGCCAGAGCATTATTCCATAAGTTTTCTATCGAATTTTGTACTTCTGGTTTCATTACCTTTGGAAAAAGATAATCATTTCATAAGATAAAATAATTTTTTGCTTTAAATTCTTCAACACTGAGAGCAAGTTTGAGAGCAGGGTCTCACAATGAAAGGGTTAAATCTGTCAAACCATCCTCAACTAGCAATAAACATTTAGTGTTACACTTCTATTTTGTGCTAGCATTACATCATCAGACACATACTTTTCTTTCTCCTGAAGTGCCGTCATATTCATAGTAATGTTGCACTAGTTTGGTTCAAAATTAATATTAAAAGCCTTGCTGTAGTCTCCAGTAAGTTACTACAACTGAGGTAATTTAGAGGTAGCCACAAACATCACCAGTTGAGCACTGTCTTTAATTTTAGCCTTTTTGATAATGTATAAAGTGCAAAAGCAGCTAGGCCAAGAATTTTTGTGATGGTGACTATCTAACTTCAAAGCAGTCTGTGTTAAGCTTACATGACAGTCCTGAGACTTGACTTTACTTCTTTATCCATATGAACATGGTGGCAGTGTTACTAATACAGCTGAGCCAAAGTGAATGATAGTTGTCAGGAGGAGTTCCCAGAGCATACCTTGGACACTGAGATGGATTGAATTTATGAAAAAATTATAAATCCTTAACCTATCCTAGCAAAGAATGTGAACAGGGTTTTTTTTTTTTTTTTTCAACAAGTCGGCCGTCTCCCACCGAGGCAGGGTGACTCAAAAAGAAAGAAAATCCTCAAAAAGAAAATACTTTCATCATCATTCAACACTTTCACCTCACTCACACATAATCACTGTTTTTTGCAGAGGTGCTCAGAACACAACAGTTTAGAAGCATATACAGTGGAACCTCAAATATCAAACTTTCTTCGGTCCAGAAGTCTGTTCGAGTGCCTTTACCGAAAGAATTTATTCCCATCAGGAATAATGTAAATTAGATTAGTCCATTTCAGACCCTTAAAAATACACTTATAAAAGCACTTACAAAAATACACTTACATAATTGGTTGTGTTGGGAGCAGTTCGATTTTTGAGGTTCCACTGTACGTATAAAGATACACAACATATCCCTCCAAACTGCTAATATTAGCAGTGAAGAGGGTTATCATAATTTTAAAAATAGAAAAAATATTGAAAAAGTATCTGTATTGATGTTGACCTAAAATTGAGTATCAGTATCAATGTTGGCCTAAAAAATTAGTATATATCGGTATCAGCAAATATAGTTGTGATTATAATGAGGAGTGGAAAGGACAGGAATAATAAGACATCCATGCTCTGGTAGCATTGTATCAAAATATAGTTATATGGGACTGCCGAGCCGAGGTCCTACCTCAGAGAAGTCCAGCTTGATATTAACTCTTGTCAATCCCACCTACATGTGGGATATGAATCTGAGGCCATTAAGTACATACTCTACCAATCATCATACTGGTTGGAACTCTAATGTAATAATGTTACATAAATACATATGGAAGTACAGTGGACCCCCGGTTAACGATATTTTTTCACTCCAGAAGTATGTTCAGGTGCCAGTACTGACCGAATTTGTTCCCATAAGAAATATTGTGAAGTAGATTAGTCCATTTCAGACCCCCAAACATACACGTACAAACGCACTTACATAAATACACTTACATAATTGGTCGCATTCGGAGGTAATCGTTATGCGGGGGTCCACTGTACGTATTAATAGTATTAAAAGTATTTACAGTATCCCATCCCTAACCATTAATTTTGTACACATACTCTTGCTTCCTTCATATAAAGATAAGTGCATTGAACAACAGTACTCCACCTTTCATACAACACAACAAAGTGTCTTTTTTACAGCTACTTGATGCTGGCCCCAACAACCCAGCAGACGCGTGTCATGGACTGGTTGAGGCGGCACATTACTGCTGAAGCTTGTGTGTCAGTTACAGACATCTCTTCCATGTACTCTGTGCTTGGTATTGTGGGGCCAAAATCCAGGGAAATGTTGTCACTCATGTGTAACAATGATCTGGTACTTCATGGACATATGGCAAAAGTAAATCAAAAGAATCAATTTACATGCCCTTCAGTGATCAATATTATTTTTTTCTGAATATATACCCTTGCTAATATGCTACTGCTAATGTGTTGTATGTTAGTAATAAAAAAAAAACACTGTATATTGCAGAGATGGTGCTTTAGTGTACAGATGATATTGTAGTAGATTTAACATTTAAAGTCTAGAGATATTTTCATAACACTAACATTAAGGATACTGTTTGGATTGTAAAGTTTGTTTATGTACCTACAATGCAAGTTGCTATATTTCATCACATTTTTTAAGCAGTAAAATTTTTCTTCATATTGTTGAATACTCTGTATGGACATGTAATTTCAAAATCTTTTACCAAATTACTTACAAGCAATATGTGCATTATCTTCATAGTGTAAAACATTAATTGTTATATTTAGAAAAAATAATTTGTTATTGCTGCTTCTCAACAGGATATCAATATAGCCTATGCATCAGGAGTAACAGTGTTATCCTTCATACATATGGGAGAACCAGGCTATACATTGATTATCCCTGCAGAATATACTCTTCATATTTACAATCAACTAATGAAGGTGAGACTGAAGATACTCATTTTTATAATTCCTAAATCAGAGAGAATTTTCTTCATAGTGTTTAATAAGTAACTTATGACTAGAGCAATAAGTAGCCCTTATCTTAACATGCACTTCTGACTACTTTTGTTCCCAGTTTATGGACACCTTAACACATAGACATAAGCAGTTACTTCATGCATGAACTTCTGGACTAGGCAAGCTTGGGGTTGGTGTAGCAGCTACCTTGGAGGTATCACCTTCACTTAACATAAATTCTTGAACGGGATTAATTAAACTGGGAAAGACAAGTTGTTATCTTTAGTGCACTAAGGATATGTATTTTAATTTTAGTAATTTCCTACCATTTTTCCACTGAAAAATGGCACATGGTGTGCCAGTACTTTGTAAAAAAAAAAAAAAAGCAGTGGAGAATCCCCTGAAATATAGACCTTTCTCATTGACAGGGTGCAGTGAAATTAAAAAATAATTTTTCTTAGTTATTTTCTCAGATGCATTAATCTTCAGTGTATGTTTGAAACAAATGTGGCGAGTTCCTATATGTTTGCTAGGTAAGTGTGACCTTAATTTTTATGATGTTGATATGTTGATGAACCTAGCTGATGCTGCCTCCCACATTTTTTTTTAATTAAAATTTTTTCTTTGCCTTGACTTTATCTTTGGTATATATAAATACTTGGTAAAGATGTGGTAAGTTCTTAACTGTTTGGTTCAGTTTAGTAAGGAAATGTATCTTTTATTTTTATGTTGTTGACATTTAACCCCTTGAGGGTCCGTGCCATAGATCTACGGCTTTACGTTGAGGGTCCAAACCATAGATCTACGTCATGAGCTCAGCTCACTCTGATAAACTGTGAGCAGTAAATTTGGGCCTAGATATGAGAGAATACATCTATGTGGTATGTGTGCACCACATAAAACAAATCCTGCAGCACACAGTGCATAATGAGAGAAAAAACTGAGACCATGATTTTCGATTAAAACAGCAACTTTGCAGTGTTTTTTCATGTTTTTTATAGTTGTATTTGAGATTTCTTGGTCTCATTTTATAGAATGGAAGATATGTTACAGAAATAGAGATGATTTTGATTGGTTTTAGTACTGAAAATGGCTTGAAACTGAGCTCAAAATAGCAGAAATGTTAAATTTTTGCCCATGTTCAAGAGTAAACAAATGACCTCACACGTCTAATACACGCCAGCTGGTGGGTCTAATATACGTTCACAAATGTGTTGATATTATTTATACAATTATTACAATATTGCATGACAGTAAATCTTCCATTTTTTGGTTTGAATAAAAATTCATTATGTGAATTAAAAATAAAAATAGAATTTATTTGTAAAGCCTGAAAACGTAACTAATGAACAGAGGAAATGTTAGTTTAGTGCCAGGAATGCCTGCATTGTTTATTCTGGACCCTATTTTGAAATTGAAATATTTTGAACTTTGCACTAAATTGGCCAAATTACCAATTTCCAATCACTTTATTTTGTAGTTGAAACAGTTGAGTTGGCAATTTCTTGTGCTCAATCGATAGAATAGAAGTAATACTAGTGAAATAGCTAAGAATTTGGTTGACTGGACTAAAGTAATTGGCCTAAAATGGGAGTGAAAGTCGCTGATGCGTAAATATCGCTGACACAGCAGAGGGAAGGGGCAAAAAAAAGAGGCGGAAGTGACGTAGGCAGTTGGGCTTCGAGCAAGGGAGAGAGAAAGAACAGACTCGAACAGCTGGAACTTCCCAGGGGGGTAGGGAACAGTGAGATGCTACATGAACATAGAAAGGTGGTAATTGAAGAGAAGACAAGAGCGAATGTAGGCGAAGAGAGAAGGGACGGAGTAAACAGGGGTGGCGAACAAATAAAGAATGTCTACTAATATCAGTGACCATTCTATAAATGGAAGGATTACGGAGATCATGAGAGTGTACATAGTAGCAAAGGTAATGGGCATCACGGCGATCAGATAAGGATGGAACGTTCGCTTCTGCATAGAGGCTCTCAACAGGGGAAGAGCGAAAAGCACCAAGGCATAAACGTAATCCTTGGTGATGAATGGGGTTAAGGCTAGAGAGAGTAGCAGGAGAGGCCGCTAAATAGATCTGGTCACCATAATCAAGTTTCGATAAAATGAGGGTGAAATGTAGGCGAAGGAGAGTTTGACGATCAGCTCCCCATGAAAGATGAGCAAGGGTTTTAAGAAGGTTCAGCCGGCTGTGACAAGTTGCCTTCAGAGAGGTAATGTGAGGTTTCCAGGATAACCTACGGTCAAAGAGGAGGCCCAGAAACCTGACTGTATCACGTTCAGGGATACGAGAGCCATAGAGGTACAAAGGATGATCGGAGATGACAGAGCGTCTAGTGAAAGTAATTTGGTGAGTTTTGGTGCTGGAAAATTTAAACCCATGTGTGGTGGCCCAATTGGAAACACGGTCGACCGCATGCTGAAGAGAAACTGTAATGAGGTGACAATCAGCGCCTGCACAGGCAATAGCGAAGTCATCAACATAGAGTGATGACCAAATATTTGATGGAAGACTAGAGGCCAAATCATTTATAGCAAGGAGAAGAAGTGTTGTGCTCAGAACACATCCTTGGGGGACACCTTCAGCTTGGATAAAGTCCGGGGAGAGCACATTATTAACCCGAACACAGAAATGCCTGTCAGTTAAAAAGTTCTTAAGGAAGGATGGTAGATTGCCTCGGAGGCCTAAGGAGTGGGCTTGGACCAAAATATTATACCTCCAAGTTGTGTCATATGCCTTCTCAAGGTCAAAAAATATGGCAATAACTGAGTGGTTATTAGCAAAGGCATTACGAACATACCTATCCAAGCGTAGTAAGGGGTCTATGGTAGAACGTCCCTTACGAAAGCCATATTGACGAGTGGAGAGACTGTTGTGTGTCTCTAAATACCACACTAAACGTCTATTTACCAGGCATTCCATCACTTTGCAAACTGCACTGGTAAGAGCAATGGGACGATAGTGGGAGGCTTCATGTCCCGTAGTGCCTGGTTTGCGGAAAGGGAGAACAATGGCAGATTTCCACAGCTGTGGAAGAACTCCTTGTGACCAATTAAGACTGAAAAGGCGTAATAGGACTGCAAGGGCTGACTGATGTAAATGTTGTAGCATACGAATATGAATGTCGTCGGGCCCAGCTGCCGATGATCGGCAAGCTGAGTGTTGCCTCCAGTTCTTGAAGTGTAAAAGGCACATTATACTGTTCTTCTCTGAGAGAAGAAAAGTCCAAGGGTGCTAACTCTCTGGCAGACTTTGAGGAAAGAAACGAGGGGCATAGATGGAGCCCCTGAGAAATACGGACCAGATGATTGCCAATTTCATTGGCAACATCTAGTGGGTTTGCTATATCAACACCGGCAACCCGCAGAACAGGAGCCGGGTCAGGAGAATATTTACCACTCAGTTTTCGTACTTTTTTCCAGACTGCACTCATAGAGGAAGCAGAGGTGATGGTGGAGACATAATCTTGCCAGCAAGTGTGTTTAGCGTCACAGATGACACGGTGAGCGATCGCACGCTTCTGCTTAAAATCAAGAAGTCTGTCCGTGGTTCTATTGTACCGGTACCTGCCCCATGCGGCGCGTTTCAAACGTACTGCACGAGCACAAGCAGGAGACCACCAAGGCATGCATTTCTGAGAATGCCTGCCCGAAGTTTGGGGTATAGAATGAGACGCTGCGGTTAAAACGGAGGAAGAGAAGTGGTGTAAAAGCTCATCAATGGAGGACGAAGAAGGAACCTCACTAAAAACAGTTAGTTGTGAGTAAAGGTTCCAATTTGCCTGATCAAATTGCCAGCGTGGGTTATGAAGAGGTGGTGAATATGAAGGGGAAGTAAGAATGATTGGGAAATGATCGCTGTCATGTAAATCCGGGAGAACAGACCAGGTGAAGTCTAATGCTGCGGAGGAAGAGCAGACTGAGAGATCGATGCAAGAGAGAGAGTGAGTCCGAGGATCAAAATGGGCGTGAGTACCTGTATTTAAAACATGGAGGGGGTGGGTGGCAAGAAAAGCCTCTAACTGAATGCCACGGGAATCATAGTGAGATCCCCCCAGAGGAAATGATGGGCATTAAAATCGCCAAGTAACAGAAGCGGTGGCGGTAATGACGAAACAAGAAAGGCAATATCCGGAATAGATAATGCCTGAGAAGGAGAAGATATAAAGAACAGAGCGTATACCACCTATGCAAGTGGATACGGGCTGCTGTGTAATGCAGCGAAGTACGAACAAATAGCTGATGGTATGGAATATCAGTGCATAGAAGAAGGGCACTTTCATTAAAAGTCCCATCAGGAAAAGGATCTGAAGAATACAATAAATTATAGCCTGAGATGGGAGAGATAACAGCAGAGTGTAATTTTGGTTCATGTAAGCAAACACCAACAGGGGAAAACTGGGAGAGTAACATCTGAAGCTCACCCCGATTACCCCTGAGGCCGCGTATATTCCACTGTAAATAGGCCATGATTGGCAATGATAAAGATACCTGAAATCCGCAGGTAAGAGTTCCTATGGACTAGAGGAGTTAGAAAAGTCCACATGCGGAGGCAGCGGAAAACGTTCAAGCAGCAAAGGAACGGTGCGTTGTGAAGAAAGGAGTTGCACAGATGGAGGAGAGGAGAGAGAAGGAACAGAGGGTGGATCAGTGTCCATTGATGGTTTGGTCTTTGCAATATATTCAGAGATTGCTTCAGGCATTTTGGAATTCAGAGACGTCGTATGGGAGACAATATTGGAGATGGTAGGGGGAGGATGAGTAAAGATTGGAATTGTAATGGACTGTACCAAGGTAGGGGGGGGGGAGGCGAAAGGGTGGAGGGAACTGGAGAAGAAGCGTGGAAGGGGACAGAAGAGGCAGAAACCTGGGAGGTGGCAGAAGAGGAAGAAACTTGGGAGGGAACAGGGGAGGAAAGTACAGTACGAGGAGGAGGGTGAACCTCTACACTTGTAACAGAGCCAGTGAGAGAGGAAGAACCAGGTACAGAGACAGGGAAGGTAAAATGAGGAGGTGAGAGAAGGGAAGGAGAGGTTAAAGGACCTTTTTTTGACTTCTGAGAAGTAGAGGGACAATTGGGAGGAGGTGTCGTACGAGATCTCGTCGATACTGAGGCTTGTGAGGGAGAACACGAAGAAGCGAGAACAGACTGAGGCGTTGAAGTAGGGACGTCTGAGCCTAGGACAGCAAAAGAATTAGATACAGGAGTGACTATGGGAGAGGTAACCACAGAGGAGGCTGCAGAAGATGGGACCCCAGAAGTGGGGGGACGTTTTGAAACACGGGAATAAGAAACATGAGGTAGTCTTCCTTGGAGGCGGAGATGAGAAACTGCCATGGCATAAGGGAGACCTTCTGCCTCTTTGAGGTAACGGATTTCCCGCTCATTTAAGTAGACTTGGCAACGGCAAAGATACGAAGGGTGAGCCTCATGACAATTAAGGCAAGAGGGAGGTCGATTGCAAGACGTATTAGAATGGTCATAGGCACCACAGACTGGGCATTCGGCTATAGATCTGCAATATTTCGCTGGATGGCCAAATCACCAGCAATTTCTACACTGTTGCGGTGTAGGGATCACCTTTCGAACTTGTAACCGATGTCCTGCTACATAAACTGAGGATGGGAGTTCACGGCTGTCAAAAGTTAAACGATCCACATTGCTAGGGTATCGTCTCCGCCCACGGGCAGGAAGAACATAAGTGTCTACCTTGAGGATTGGGAGATCTTGGAGTTCCAGCTGTTCAAGAATGTCGTTGCCACATATCTGGAAATTTTGTTGAACTATGGTATGGGGCAGAATGACGGTACCACTACAAGAATTGAGGAATGATGTTTTTCAATAGTGACAGGAACAGTATCGATATGGGAAAGAAGAGAAAGATCATGAGCTTGGGTAGCATTCTGTACAGTGATGGCGGCGTACCGCTCTTAAGAGCATGAAAAAAAATCTTTACCAACATGGCGTAGGAGTGCCTTGCCATTCTGTGGTTGGAAAGATAGGCAGTGAGGAAGTCAGTCATAAAGTGAAGAATTTAGTCCATTTGCATTCTGAAACTGTGTGTGGAAAGGGAGTGCAGGACATGTCGATCTTTTCTGAGAAGAACGAGAAGGTGGAGAAGTATCATTAGCAGGTAACTGTCATTGGCGTTTAGGCGTGGGACCAGAGTTGGTCCGACATGGAACGAGCCGGCGATTCGAAAATTGCCGCACCGTAGAGGGAGAGGCCAGAAGCATAGTCAAAGGAGAGCGGAGGTCAGATAAATCGAAGGAGTCAGTTGAGACCTAAGTACCTGAATCGGGTGAGGAAACAGCACCGGCAAGAGGTACAGAGGCATGAGGAGTGTCCGAAGAGTGGTCCAAAGACGAGGCGGGGTCAGAACGGGGTGCGGTATCAAGAAGGGGCCCGGGGGTATCAGGTTCATGGACTAGGGTTGCCATGGTTAGGTTACTTCTTTCTTTTTGTTTTTAAGAAAAAAAAGAAAGCAGAAAAGAAAATAAAAAAAAAAAAAAAGAATATAAAAAGGGGGGACCGGGGAGGGATAGTTCCTAGAAGGAATGAAAGGGCCAGAAATCTCCCTCCGTGCCCAAGAGGACCTCAGCACCGCAAGTAGCACAGATGCAGCATGGAACCCGTGCCATACCCTACCCATCATGTCAGTAAACCAGCAATCCGGGATAGCAACCTCACATCTGCCGAGCTACCTCGGTAGACAAAAGAGAGGGCGGCCAGATATCCGCCACAAAGCATACCTCCTTCGGCCACCACCCCTGGAATCCGAGAGGTGGCTTCCAGAGATACACCCATCGCCCGAGAGACACCCAAAGCCACCCTCTGGGATACCAGAGAGGGATCGGGACATCCCCAGGCAATCCAGATTCCACGGCAAACTACGCCACCGCCAAGAACCTCAACGGAATGGGATGGACCCCAGTACCCTTTCCCCTACCTAGGAACTAGCGTGCCTGTGGGAAAAAATCCCAAAGGCCAAAAAGGAAGGGCAAAAGGGAGGGGTGGGGAGGAGGAGGAGGAGGAATGGAAAAAGGGGAGGATGGGATAGGGAAGGGGGGATTGGGGGGTAATTAGGCTCGGTCTGAGGAAGGAGACCGACAGGTCCGATTCCTCAGACCAAGAGCCTCTTCACCACAACAAGGAGCCCCCCTTGAAGAGGTACAGTGAGTGTACATGTATACATCATGCATTATATTGGTCTCACAGGCCACAAAAGTTACTGGAAAAAAATATATATTAGAAAAGAAAAGTAAAAAGTAACAAAAATAGAAAATAAAATAATACAAGTGGATGGCACTCATCAGTGTTGCTGCCAGCCAGTCATTGAAGGTCAATTTCATGCTTCTATATCTCATTGAGTACTGATCGAATTTTATTTTATTACCTACAAAATATTAGGCTCTTTAATTCTATAGGTTTTTATTTTTTTTAATTCTTGGACCCTGGCAGCAATTCTCAGATTAGGGGTCTGGACCCCTCAAAGGGTTAACTTCCTGGGGAGCAAGCACACACAAAAAAGGCACCAATCACATAAAATAATTTTATATTCATTGTACATATTTTAGTTATTTTTTTAACACACCAGCTGTCTCCCACTGAGTTAGGGTGATCCAAAAGAAAAAACACTCAATTCGCTCTTATCACTGTCTTGGCAGAGGCATCCCAGTGCTACAGTTTAGATGCCCCCTCCAAACTGCATATACTATTCCTACCCCTCCTTTAGAATGCAGGCACTGCACTTTTCACCTCCTGGACTCAACTAACCAGTTTCCCTGAATCCCTTCACAAAATGTTACTGGCTCACACTCCATATATATTTTTCACATTGCTATAGTTGTCAGTAGCCTGTCTGTCATAGTGCACTGTAATGGTGACCAAATACCCATCTATTCAAGTGCACTGATTGAAATATATAGTTGAGAGAAAATTAAGTTTTAACATTTCTTACCATAACCCTTTCTCCTGTATGCATTACTATAGTTAAAAAGAGAAACTTTTGTTTTTCTTTTTGGGTCACCCTGCTTCAGTGGGATATGGCCGGTTCTTTGAAAGATTACTTGCCATGTAAATAATTGATAGTTGTGAGAGCACTTTTTTGAAATTTGTATATGCTGTAAATAGAAAAAATGCTAACAGCAGTGAGCACTAGAAAAGGAGTGTGTAATCTACAGATTACATTGTTAGGTGAATAAGAATGTATTTTTCAAGGCATTTTATTGTGGTATTTGAAAATCTAATAAAAGTTTAAATTTCAGAAAGAATACTTCATTGGTAAGTTTGCATTGATGCGCCAATCAAGTCAAGGTCTGAAGAAGAGACTTGTTCATCTAACTCTGGATGATAGCTTTGACCCTGATGAAGATGTCTGGCCTTGGGGTGGCGAGCCTATATTTCACAATAATCTCTATGTGGGCAATACAACATCAACAGCGTAAGTTTAATTACGTTTTTCTTAAAGTATTAAGGATTTTCTTGTGTTTTTGCGTGGAGGTGTCCACATTTTTCTTTTGTCAGAATTCAAATAGTATTCAGCTATAACTTTAGTGTACATAGTTAGGTAACAAGTAACTACAGATAAACAGTGTAAAGTAATGCTGAACCTCAAACGTGTCTGGTTACATTCCTACACAGTTTTTGATATTGGAATTGCATGTGGTACTATCTCTCGAAGTTTTATGAAAAATATTACAGTACTTTGGTATTGTTTGGTGAAAGTGCTGGGTACATGTTTAGCTTTTGTGATCATGATTATGGCTTTCACATTTGTTTACTTGCTGCACTCTTAAAGAGGGGTGTTGATATGTTGCAATTTTTTAACTGTAGTGTAGGCACACCACTGGCAACACAGTGCTGGAGTGAATGATGATGAAAGTGTTCTTTCTTGTTTTGGTCACCCTGCCTTGGTGGAAAACAGACATTGTGTTACTAAAAAAAATGGGTGGATTTATTTATATCTCTAGGATATAATTAGCTAGGTTTATCCCAATGAGAAGAGTAGAAGTTGTTAAAGCTAGTGGTTCATAGGATTTGACATGGAGGTGGCATATGAACAAGGTAATATTTATAAAGGGAACCATTTCCTTTGGAAGAGCAGAGGCTACTAAGTGAGTAGCCCATAGGCTCTGACATGCTGGTAATGTGTGAATAAAGTAATAGTATGTATCTGTACACAGATAACCCACAGGTTATTTGTGTACAGTATTGTTCCAGCAGTGGCATTGTGCCACTGCTGGAACAATATGTTAGGTAAAAGGACATGTGTGCAACTAAAGCGACACTTTAACATGGCAACATTTCATTCTCCAAAAGATTTGTCAAGCCATAATGACTTGACAGAACTCATGGAGAGTGAACTGTTGCCACAATAAAGTGTCACATTAGTTGTTCATGTTTCCTTTTACATAACATGTGGTTTGATGGGCCACTATTGGGCTGTAATAGCTGTTTCCTTCTAGAATAGCAGTTAGAGGCCAATTGATCATTATTTTTCTTTGGGGATCACCCTGCCTTGATGGGAAATGGCTGATTTATTAAAAAATCTTATGATGCTGTATGTCTATTCTTTCCTAAAGAGTTATTGATTTAGTTTGTATTTTCATGGAACTAAGTTAAGATTTATGATAAAAGTACAGTGGACTCTCGACATTCGATACTAATCTGTTCCTGAGAGCTATCGAATGTCGAAAATATCGAAAGTCGAATTAATTTTCCCCATAAGAAATAATGGAAATCAAATTAATCCGTGCAAGACTCCCAAAAGTATGAAAAAAAAATTTTTACCACATGAAATATTAAGTTTAATGCAATAGAATAATTACAATAACAACAATAACAATAAAATAATTGACACTTACCTTTAATGAAGATCTGGTGATGATTGATGGGATGGGAGGAGGGGAGAGTGTGGATGGTGTTAGTGTTTAGAAGGGGAATCCCCTTCCATTAGGACTTGAACTGGCAGCCTCACCATGCCTAACCACACTGTGTATGCCACTACAATTCTTAAATCTTTCAAACTAACCTTTGCTGGCCTTAACTTCACTCACATCACCACTAGTTGCAGGCAATTTCTTTACCAAATCATGCACTCCACTTTCGTACTTTGCAATTATCTCTTTCTTCATTTCAATAGTCATTAGCACCTTTTTTCTCGAAGGGTTGGCACTAGAAGCTTTCTTGGGGCCCATGGTTACTTATTTTGCAGAAACAAGCACCAAAAACAGTGATAATATGGATAATATGGAATGTACCGAATGTATCCTTAGATGCACGCACACTGGCTGGCTTGTAAACACTGGTACACATGGGGCAGTTCAGGCCACACGTGGACATGTCTCGTACAAATCGTATCGAATGTCGGGTTTTCCATCGAATGTTGAGGCGAAATTTTTGCGTTAAAATGCATCGAATGTCGGATTTATCGAATGTCGATGCCATCGAATGTCGGGGGTCCACTGTACTCTAGTTAATAGAAAGCCTGGGCCAAGATTTTTAACCCTTTGACTGTTTACATCGTATGTATATACATGTATACGTATTAGGCGCCACTGTTTCTGACGTATTTATATGCGTAAATTCTAGCACCTTCAAATGAAGCAGGAGAAAGCTGGCAGGCCCACATGTGAGAGAATGGGTCTGTGTGGTCAGTGTGCACCACATAAAAAAATCCTGCAGCACGCAGTGCATAATGAGAAAAAAAAATGACTGTTTTTTTTGGATTAAAATGCCGACTTTGAGGTGTATTTTCATATAGTATTTATCATTGTATTCTCGTTTTCATGGTCTCAGGTGATAAAATGGAAAACATATTACAGAAATAGAGGTGATTTTCATTACTTTCATGGTGAAAACGACTTTGAAATTGAGCTCAAAGTAGCGGAAATGTTCGATTTTTACCAATGTTCAGGAGTAAGCAAATTACACCACACGTCCAATACACGTCAACTGGGGAGTCTGATATTCTTTCACTAGTGCACCTATATTATTTATACCATTTTCACAATAATGCAGTAGTCTGCATAACAGTAAATTTTGTATTTTTTTGTATGAATAAAAAATCAAAATAGAAAGCAGTAGTAATATAAGAGGAGCCTAGAGACATGACTAATGAACAGGGGATATGTTATTTTAGTGCCAAGAATGTCTACATTGTTTATTCTGGACCCTATTTTGAAATTGGCATCTTTTTTAATTTGGGTGAAATTGGCCAAATTGCCAAATTCTGACCACTTTATTGGGTAGTTAAAATCGATAAATGGGCGGTTTCTTGCACTCAACTGATAGAGAAAATGGAGTTCTAAAGAAATAGCTATGAGTTTGGTCAACTGGAACAACAAAATTGGCCAAAAACAGGGCTCAAAGTCGGCGAAATTGCCGATGCGTATATGTCGCTGAGACCGCTAACTTTGTGGGAGCATAATTCAGTGAGTTTTCGACCAAATTTCGCACTTTTGGTGTCATTACCATCGGGAAAAGATTCTCTCTCATTTCATAAGAAAAAAATTTTTTTTTTTTTTACAGAACTTTTGCGACATAGAATGACAGTTTCAGAAAGGGGCTTGCGACAGTCAAAGGGTTAAGGAAATAGGTATTTTGTAAGATGCTAGGGAAAATTAGTGAAATGTTCACTTTCAAGTTCATATAGATGTATATGTTGTTTGAAAACTGGTTGCTGTATCTCAGATAGTTTACCATGTAGCCACATCATTTTTGATTGGAAAGAAACCAAATTGATAATTTATTTTACTTGTGAGGATACCACCCATCATTCTTAGGAAACTAGGTTAAGAAATGTTCATACATTTTATGAGCAAGTAAATACAGCACCATCCTTAACTCTATTCTCAGTAAGACAAACTCATAATAGATTACCTGTTTCATTTTTGTTCTGTGCTGGTTTTTTAGTAAATGTGCAAAATAAAACAAAATTACATAGTAATATTATAATTCTTTCATTTACAGTTTTGGATTTACATTAAATAAAATGGTATGCCTTGGATTTGTCCGGCATCATGAGCAACAAAACGTCACTCTGAGTACATACTTCAAAATGCAAGCTTTGAAATTGACATAGCAGGGCGAAGAGTTGCTGCTCATGCTTCTCTTCAACCTCCTAAAATGCCTGTGGTCAGAATGGATGGCTTTGCTTCATACAGGCCAAAATCACGTGGAATTATCACACAAAAATAATCATATTTGTACAGTTTCATAAAGTTTATATTCTAGTATGCAGAATTTAAAGAACGGCTGAATTTGTAATATTTTATTTTACAGTATCCCTCATTATTTATTATAAAATATTTTTGTAGTACATTTTTTTCTGAAACTATTTTTTTCATATTTAACCGCAGTATTTGTATAGAGCTTTAAAAAAATATGAATACCAAGGGTACAGAATCATTACATTACTGTATCTTTATATTTTTCCTCAAAAACTATCAGTTTAATGAACATATTCTACACTTTTGTAGTAAAAAATAGTCATTTAAATTAAAGAGTTAAAAAAATATTATAGTAATTTTTTTGTGTGTGAATGTATTCACCCAGTTATGTTTGTGGGAAATTATTATTATTATTAATATAATCAAGGGGGAAGCGCTAAACCCGGAGGATTATACAGCGCCTGGGGGGGGGGGGATGTGGAAGGCATTCAGGCTTAATTCGGGGAACTGGAGCACAGATCCAATTCCCTAAATCAAGAGCCCCTCACCAACATCAAGGAACCTTCCTTGAGGGGTTGTGGGAAATTAACTCCAGTTCCTTAGTCCTGCCATCATTTGATGGATATAATGACTCCCCAATACCATACTTTTATATCAGATCTTTGAATTTATTCACATCCCTTTTTTCAGTGTTCAGTTTCCATCAATTGATATATGTAAGGACTCTTTGACATCTTTATGTTTTCTTTTATCTTTAAATCTATACACAGAGTTTGTCTCCTTGCCTCCCTATTACATTTTCATGTTTGCAGCCCTTTTTACATTAGTCTTCATTATCCATTTGTCTTATTTTTATAGTTAATCCCTGTTCAAGAGCATGTCTTTCTCTATATTGTCAATAACTCGAACATCTTGTATTTAACCCTTAAACTGTCCAAACGTAGATCTACGTTTTTTCAACATTTGAAAGTATGTAAAAAAACATAGATTTTTTTTTTTTTACATTTGAAAATGTGTAAAAAAAACTTTGATCTACTTTTTTTTTTTGTTATACTATTTGAAAATATGTAAAAAAACGTAGATCTACTTTTGGAGCACTACGCATTTGAATGTAAATCTGTTTGGACAGTTTAAGGGTTAATGACCTTCTTTACTTTCAAGCTTTTATACAATAATGTGGAAAATTATGATACATAATTTTATTCTATCTATGTAGCCCAGTTCCTTTAGCTCAGTGATCAGTCTGATAAGGATCTTCTTGATTTTCTCAAGTTTTTTATGTGGATATACTGTTTTGAGATCAATCTAGTCAAGGGCCAGGCTGTATTCAGTAGTCATCCATCCACAAACGATACACAAATAACCTGCACATAGAAGAGAGGAGCTTACAACGACATTTCGGTCCGACTTGGACTTTGTAAATGGTCCAAGGCGGACTGAAACTTCGTCGTAAGCTCCTCTCTTCTATGTGCAGGTTATTTGTGTATCAAGGTTCCATGGTTGCTCCACATACTCAAGTATTGATCTAGCATATGTTATGTACAGTCTCTTGAAGGCCTTCTTACTCAAATTTTCCTGTGATATAGACAAGCATAGTGCAATGTCCTCCCCAAAGTCCTTTTCTCTGAAGCAGCTGTTTCTGTAAGATATGATTTCAATGACCTTTCACCTGTTTCTGTACTTATTACTTTGCATTCAGCAAGATTGATATCCAGTGTTCACTGCCTTCTTGCAACTTTTTTTTACATATCTTTTCATCCTCACATTTCTTATCAGTTTTACCTTCTCTGCAAACAGCAGCATGACAGCATAAATCTCCACAGATTGATCATTCACTGTTAATATAGAACAACAATGTCTTGAACAGTATTGGCTGGAAATCATTTGTTTTTGCTCCACTGGCTGCCACATTTGATAGTGACACTGCCATCTCTATGTTAGGTAGCTCATTATCCAGTGGATTATGTTCCCAAATACCACAGCTTTTTTTCCATTTAATAAATTAGCTGCCTGTGCTTTCCAGTTTTGCATACAAAATCTCCACTACTACTGATTTACAGTACTTGCAACCTTAGTTTTTTCCTTCAGCACCTAGGGTGATGTCTCTTATTTCAACGATGTTGTCAAGAGAGCTCTCAAATACTGCTTGTTGTAATTTTCTTCATTCACTGATGAGTATTTCTTTGAATTATTTTGTGAGCTCACACATTTTCTTTTAAGATTTTGAGCTTTCTCCCATATTTTATAATATACAGTGGACCCCCGGTTTACGATATTATTTCATTCCAGAAGTATGTTCATGTGCCATTACTGAACGAATTTGTTCCCATAAGGAATATTGTGAATTAGATTAGTCCATTTCAGACCCCTAAACATACACGTACAAACGCACTTACATAAATACACTTACATAATTGGTCGCATTGGGAGCTGATCGTAAAGTGGGGGTCCACTGTATTCCCATGATCTTATATTGATGTTTTCCAATCCTTGATATGGCTGTGATAAATGATGGAGCATATCTTTGCTTTCCTCCTACAATACACATATGTAATCCTGCTTGGTTCTTATGTGCTCTGCATTTTTTCCATTCTGTCTTACATCTGCATTTCACTTTTGATATAAAACAAATCCATTGGATTTCTTGTATTTCTGGGTGATATAATCATAGTCTCTAGTGGCTGGTGGAATGGTAGTTCATACAGTATATGGAGAGGGAGAGCATATATCTGGCAGAGAGAGAGAGAGAGAAGTTCTCAGTAAGGATGATGAGAGGGATGGAAGAACTGGATGTCATCAAGTCGGTGAAATAAAAGAAGAGTTGAAATGTAGTGAGTGAAAAGCTACAATCGCAGTAGGGTCATGTGTAAGGGAATGTGAAGGAATAAGGATAATGGGATGGGAAAGTTCGTGAATTTCAGGAAGAGGGTGAAGAATAGTCAAGGAGGAATGGAGTTTCAATGAAAGGTAGGTTCAATTGTGTCAAGAGAGCAAAAGACATGCAATGTGCAATGGACAAGAAGGGAAAGGTTAGATTGGTCCTGGGGATTGTGAGGGAAGGGTAAAGTGGCACAGAGAGTAAGAGATGAGCTCAAGGGAGTGGAGAGGGATGAGTAGCCCTACTGAGCTGACACGGACTATTGTGGATCATTGGCTGATGTCTATGACCAAAGTTCCTTTGCTGATGTTGATGAACAATTTCCCAGACCTTGCTCTCAACAGAGAGGAAAACCTTTAAAAGTATTCATCACACTAGGCCATAAATTTTCCCAGCCTGCATTTTCACGTGCTTTTTGACATAGCTAATGTCACCTGCAATATTAAATTTATGCCAAAAGTCTGGCACTCCAAGCTCGGAGTCAGCATCCATTACTGCAATAAGTTTTCGCATCACATTTCATGTGTAATCACACTTTAATGTCTTAATAATTCTATGATCCAGTAGGTGTATGAAAGACATTGTGATGTTGTATTTGTGGATATAAACACAACCTTTACATATGGATTCACCCCCACCCAAACATGTGGATGAGTATGGGAATTATCAAGGGTGAAGAGAACCTGGAATGTAAGGTTCTTGCTGCACAAGTAAAAAATAGCTTCAGAAATAAAGTGATGCTTAAACAGTCAATAAATAATTCCTGTCATCCATGCTAACTGGTTTGACCTCCAAATAACTGGTAAGGTGGTTTTATCTGTATCTTTCAAAGCACAGGGAGTTTTGTAGTAGTAAATAACCATAGGCTTACCTTACAATTGCCTAATACATTACCACAAAGTAGCAGGCTTGAATCCCAGTGCACTTTTCTCTTGCTGGCTGCAAGTTCTCACTGGCATCTTCCAATAAAAAATTGTTTCAGCAGTATTAAACACTTGCTGTAGCTCATAGCCACCCTCAGAAATAGTTTCGTGTAATACAGAAGGGAAATTTCCTGTAGAAGTGTAATTAGCAGAAGCACATTTACCAGAAAATTTAATAATATGGAACTGATTGCACTATTTGAACTTTGGAACTTGGCTGTACTATACAAGCACTCTTGTTCAGGATTTCCTTCCTCTTCAAACTGTTGTACTAGAATCTTTCTCACATTTTTCTTGGGTGCCATGTTTACTATCCAAAGATGAGATGGAATGATGAAACAATCAAAAACCAATTCACTAACACAGGCCGAGTACGGTATTGGACATATATGAATGGAGCACTGAGGTGAGGGAGGTTGTGCACATTACAAAGGCCTCAATTTTACAGCCATGTTATCATGAAAAAGTGTTGACAGACTGCTTGTTAACCTATGGTCTACAATATTATTATTATAATCAAGGTAAGCACTAAACCCAAAAGGGTCAACTCTTGCATAAGAAAGGAGCAAGGAAATCTATTTATCTACCTTTGGGTCACCCTCATAAAATTTGTGGCTCATTCCACTCAGTCTTCACCTTCCCTTCCTTTCCCATGTTCTCAAGCTTCTTACTATGTGTCTATAATATAGTACAGTGGAACCTCAGTATGCAACCTTAATTCATTCCAGACGGCTGTTCGAGTGCTGCTCTGTTTGAGTATCGAACAAGTTCTTCCCAACCAATTTTCTGTTTGGCTGGCTGTTATCACTAATCTTCGTAAGCCCCATGGTGACTTATTTATACAAATAATACAAAAAACACCAAAAAATGCAAAAAAACACTAAATAGTTTACAGCAAAGTTCTGACAGGTCTTATTTGTTTGGTCGAGTGCTGAGCTTTGTTCGAGTAGGGAGCTGGTCGTATACTGAGGCTCCACTGTAGTATATGCTTAGTTTCTTTTCTCATGTCATATATCTATAAAAACAATTATTGTTTTTTACCTACCAGCCATATCCCACAAATGTAAAATAACTCAATAACCCAATAATTTTTGCCAGGATTATGCAGACATCACATTTCAAATGACCTTCCAAACTGCATCATCCCCATCCCTCCTTCAGAATTCAGGCACTGTACTTCTCATCTGAACTCAAGTCTCGCTAATCAGTTTTCCCTGAATCGCTTCATACACATTACCTTACACTCCAGTAGTACATCAGGCTATACAACCCACTTGTTTCCACTCTGATCTAACATGCATATGCAAGCCTTCTGGATGCTCAGGCTCCTAGCACTCAAAATTTCATCCCCTCCCTCCCACCTTTCTCAGTACCTTCAATTACACCTTTTCACTCATGGATATTGTTTTCGGTAAGTGTTCATTTTTCTTGTCATATTTCTCCATCCTAAATTATCCTGTTGCCACTTGTCTGCATCTTCAATTTATTGTCTTAAGAATTACTTATATACTGTTATTGCTTTGCCCTGTGGTGTTTCATAGTGTTTTCATTCCTAGTACAGTAAGGCGCCACTTATACGGCAGGTTAGGTTCCAGGCTACCGCCAGAAAGC